GGCTGCTCTGAAATCACATGAAGGGCAGTTCAGCTCTGTTCCACCACATTTATATATCTGAGCATCCAAGTCCCATTTTGAAGGTGCCAAGTCTTCTGTCAATTACTATTCTGGTCACTGTTTTGAGTTTCATTACAATTTCTAATGATACAGTTTTCAGAGGGAATCTGGAGATAAAACATGGAAGAGATTAGGCAATTTTTCAAGAGATAACCACTGTCACCTTACAGAGAAAAAAAAATGTCCTCAGTGTATTAGAATGTCTTGGAATACCTGAATATTTGCCTACTGAGGAAACACTTCTGAAACTTTGTGTTTGGAAATAACATTGCAAAATATGTCCGAGAAGGGAGATGTGTGATGCATAACAGGGTATTATTATTTAAGCTTATTTGCTCAATATCTTACTTTTACAGTTTCAACCTGTATCTGATGTCCATGCAGGTGTAACTCATCAAATTACCTTCTAATTTACAGTTTTAAAATTCTCTGCAACCAATAACAGGCACAAGAATTAAGGTTTTAACTGAGCAAGTGGAAGATCTTGAGGCAGCTTGTGCTCACTCTTTTCACCCCTGTTAATCCCATTAGGTGCTTTGTAATGTCACATTCAGAGAATGTTACTCCTTTATTCTTACTCCACCCTGTGCTGTGGGCAGTAACCTGGGGCCTCCCTCCTCTCACCTCCTCTTGCTCTTTTAATGGGAAACGGGGAGTTTTTATCAGGAGGCAAAAAAAAAAAAAGAGCCAGTACACAAAATCATCAAATTATTGCACTTCTGCAGCACCAAAGAAAAATATTTCAAGACAATTTGGTACTAATATGTATTAGACCACATCCTGTGGCTGTTGCTCTGAGTTTGGGCAGACCAAGGTCAAAGGATATCACAGAATACAGGATTTGGACCCTTTTGCTGTGTTAGCTCCTCCTGTACCTTTGGGATTTTCCTTTTAGGAGGGACCCACATTGGAAATGCAGACTACGTAAGCCTTGACCCACTTTTGGGGAAGAGATGTTATTATACATTACCTTAAAAGGCTCTTAAGATATTTTTGGCCACTCAATACATAATGAAAAAAATATTCAATACTTTAATGCAGCATATTTCTTAATAGTCTAAATGGGTCAGGGTACCACACCCACACTGACTTTAGATAATGCTCATTTTTTCTTCTTGTTTCTATGACTTTTTCTTAAATCATTAGCAAGATTTTAAAAGCATTTACAGTATCAAATAAATCACAGGTTTGAAGTACTCTGACAGCATTTTACTGTTGGGTAAATTGAGATATTACCAGTAACAGAGTTGAGCACCTTGTGGGATGCCTTTTATTGGCCACTCACCTTCAGAAAATCAGAGACTAAATGGTAAATTTCGCTTTTTTTTGTTGATTCTTTCCACATCTTCTGAAACATCTTAGTTTTGTCATTTGCTCTTATGATTTCTATGACCCTGCTCCCTCACATGTGATCACACCTAGTGCAGCAGTTACTGATGTTCATAGCACTCTTGTCTTTTTTCCTGGTACATTTACACCTGTTGGGCCTTGAAAGGAGTTGTGCTACACAAGCTGACTCCCAGTTTTAAATGTATTTTCCATGTCTAGAGCCCAGCTGATTGTCTGATAGCACAGTGACAGGAGAAATCTGGACACAGAATCAGTCTGTATACTACCAGGACATGCTGGCATTTAGAGAAAATAATATATAGATATAATAAATATATGTAATAAATAATATATATTAAATAATATATATAACTTATATATTATATACATTAAATAGAATATATCTATAATAAATATGCTATATATATATATATATAAAATAATAAAAATATAATAAAAAGCACCTGATACATGGTTTTTTTCCACTCCCAGCACAAAACAGTGCAATAACAGCCACACCTAAATTTGTGCTCCAGCAAGTACCCTGATCTCGAGCCAAATATCCTTTAAGAGAGTCAGGGCTCCCCATAAAACACTTGTTTTCTCATCAGCTTTATATAAATAAGCAATTTCCCAGAAGCACTTTCCATTTTGCTCCCTATCTCTCCAAACTCTCCCAAACCCATACGCATTTATAACCTGCTAAGGGAAAAAAAAAAACATTGAAGCATTAAAATAAAAGCATAAAATATGTGTATCTTGGTCCTTCAACTCAATTGCCAAAGTTGTATTAATGTCAGTGTGTGTGGGTGGAAGGGAAGAGTGAAGTTAGCTAGAGCTTGAATATATAAAAAAACCAACAAACCAGAAGTTTTTCCCTAAAATTTCATGATTAGAATCACTTTTCACAGGGCTCTGTGACATCTCATCACAGTTCTGCTGAGCACCTTTCTCTTCCATTCCCAACTGCTTTATGTAACTGAGACAGCTCCATGGCTTGGGCTAGAAAAGACCAAGAGAAAAGTCTGTGTTCTATTTCTTTGAGCATAAAGCCTTTCACCATGTGCTGAAAAAATGTAGGTACCACTGGCTCCTGCAGTTCCTCCTCTCCTTGATCTTAAATCAGCTCTTTTCCAGATGCTTTTTCAGAATATTCCATCCTCTGTTGCTTTTATTTCAGTGTGGTTTCTGCTTGTTTCTCGCTCTGGGATGTTCGCTTTTCCTTTTTTCTCAGCAACTTCACATCACCAGAAAATAAACTGCCACTAATCAAATGATTTCTACTTTCCTGACAAAATTCAAGTATTTATTGATGCCATGTTGCAGTTCTTGAATCACTTTTTGAGAGACTGCAGCAAAAGGAACACGTCAGCCCCTCTGAGGAGATGCCATCAGCTGATCATCTGTGATTAAACCCATGCTTAACTCATGTATAGGACACATCTGGGTTAATTTAAGGGAAGAATATATATGAATTTAAATTTAAGAAATTGCTTGAATTGCAATTCAACAGCTGAATTGCCTCACACAAATAAATTCTATCTTTGCCAATTCCTTTTCCAACTTAAACATCTTTTCCCCTGATGTAAAAAATCCCAAATCTGAAAATACCCAGTTCTTTGAATACCTCTGAAGGAAAAGACTGAACTGCCATCTTGGTAAATATCCCCCATAAAAAGACACTTTATTACTTACAGTGGTCCACCTGCAGAAAATGAAATGAATTCCTTATGTGGGGTTTCATCAATGATATCTGCATGATAAATCTGTGCTATTTTTATGTCTTTGAGATTTCACCTGGTTCTTATTCACAAAGGACAGATGAAATTCCCTGTATCCACTTAAATTTCACTACTGAAACAAACCCCAAAATCAATAACATTTTTGCCAATGGCTGGTGCTTGTGGACTTCCAGTTCAGAAACCACTAGAAAAGGTTTCACCAATGTTAAATGACTTTTATTTTTCAATCACTGTTATACAGAGTAGCAAACAGAGTCAATTAAAATAAGAATACTGTATCTAATGACATTACTTATTTATAAGACTAAAGCTATGTCCTTGTGGGTTTATGGTTATGCAGATCTAAGTTACAGCATTTGAAATCAGTCTTCATCTTAACTGTGGCAAATAAAAAATATTTTTTAAAAGCCTGGAAAATTTTTGTTTGGACAGAAATGGCTTCATTTTGACATATTTATAATACAAAACATAGCTAAAAGATTTGTAGGAACTGTCACAGCAAAATGTTTTGCTTTAAATTGCCAAAATTCTGTTATGGAAATCACTCAGGTTTTATAAAATATTTTATGTGGTTTGCATGAAGAAATCATGAAGTGGAATGGATCCTAGTTTCCCATCAGAGAAATTCCCCAATTAGGATATTGGCAGTTTTTTCTCTCCACATTAGTGCAAGTCCTGTGACCACACTGGTTTTCTGTGTCCCTTCAGTATTTCTGAGCAGGTTCACCAGCTCAATAAAAAAGCCTTTTCTGATTTCTTTCTTTAGGTTTTATGGGGCTTTTTTAAGGGGCAGTTAATTCAGCTGTTACTTAAATAGGAAGAATGATTTGAAAATCTCAATATTCCAGCAGTGCCATTCCTGTTTTAGGTGTGTGCTCCAGATTGCAATGCAAGATGTTTTCCATTCCCATCTGTATGGCAGATTGTCTTTTGCCAAGTGGGCAGTTTGCCTTATCTCTCTCTTTGAATGGCCACAATCACACCTCCCTCAGGAGGGGACATCTGCTGATAACAGCTATTGAATGTCACTGCATGGCTGATAAGAACTGCAGCATCCCATTGGGAGATGTGAGCCCAGAGGGAGGAGCCAAGCATTCCTACCTGGATATAATCTGGAGATTCTGGAACACCAGCAGGGCTTGTTCACTGGATTCCCCAGAGAAGCAGCAGCTGCCTCTTCCACTGGATCTTCAGAGGAAGAATCCATCCTTCTCTACAGGATCCTGCTCCAACAGAACCACCCCTGACACTGCAGGAGGGCTGAGCCACAATTCCAATGGCACTGCCACCAACAGCCTGACCCACAGGGTGTCAGATTGGGTTCTGACTCTGTCAGTGTTGTTCTGGTGTACTGCATTGTTTATTTTATCCTTTTATTTTCTTCCCTATTAAAGAACTGTTATTCCTACTCCCATAACTTTTGCTGCCTGAGAGTCCCTTAATTTATGATTTACAGCAATTTGGGGGGTGAGGGGTTGATTTTCTCCAGTTCAGGGGAGGGCCCTGCCTTCCTTAGCACACACCTGGCTTTCCAAACCAAGACAGTGTGCTTTATGTAAGGCCTGTGAGCCCTCAGGTACCACTTGACCTGACCAAGAGGTACAAGCACTTTCAGAAGCAATAAAACTGCATAATTCAATGAACATTTCAATGAAATGAAATGCTCACAGCATTTCTGATACTGAAATTGAGGTTTTTATCTAAATGTGGCACCCTTGTTTTACAAGGAGCATTCTTCTCACACTTCTCAGGTCCATGTGGGTTTTTGGAATGTCATTTTCCCTCTGTGTGGAATTACCTTCATCTCCAGGCTCCAGAGGATGAGCCTGCTGCAGGATAAATGCATAACCCTGGGATCACTCACACACACAAACACAAAAAGGAATTATTTAATGAGGATAGGGCAAAGGGGTGTTAAATAATCCATACATATTGCTCATGATCCATTGATATGTTCAGAATGAAAAACACCTGAATTTTGTGTTGCTGTATTGTTCTGTAGATGAGAAAAGATTTCTTAGTTGAAATACATGACCTTTTGTGGAAAAAACGGTTTGACCTTTCTAAAAAGTTAATTAACAAGGAAGACTCTGTAAATTAGGTCAAAACATCCATTAAGATTCATGAAAATTCCAGCTTACAACACACTGGTCACCACCAGTAGTAGCTCTTGTCACCAGATGTCTGTATTTTAGGTTTTTCCTTGATTTTTCCTCTTCTTTTACTCACAGAACCTGCTCCATTAGAAAAATTAGCTTTCTATCATATTCATGACTCATCAAGGCCTGAAGGAAGAAACCAGAACCATCCACAGTCTTCTCATTTGTGACACAGACTATTAACAACTTCATTAACTTTCGTCAGGCCATGTTTCTGTTCAAGGTCTCTTGTGCATTTTTACAGGAGTTACTGGAAGGATGCATTGTCTTGGGCTTCTGTCAAGAGAAAAAAAAAGGAATTAGAAAGGTCTTTACATTCATTAAGACATGGGAAATAATTCCTGTAAATGTTATTGTAAGTAAAACAAATCTTGGTCATTGCTTTGTGCTCAAAAGATAGAAAATACATTTGATTGCAATTCTTCTCATTAGGAAACAATATATCACAACCATCTGCTTTAACCCTTTTCAAGCACAGAGAACCATTAATGTAGAGCAAACAGAAACTATAAACAAGAGGAAAAGTTTTTAAACCCAAGTTTCTTGTTCTAGACTACCAACATGCAACATTATATAAATCTAATTTATAGAGATTTATATAAATCTGTTGCCTCTATAAATCTCCTAAAGGCAACAGGAGATTGTACAATAAGGCCTGAGAAAGGATCAAAGTTTAGCCCAATAACCAGGACATGGAAAAACAGTACTGGGACTCTGAGGAATCCAGTCATTTTCCCTGTGATGAGCAAGTACTGGACAGCTCTCCATCCCACCTGTGTGTAGAAAGCACAACAAGATGTAATAGTGGAAAAAGCAGAAGGTTTGAGGGCAGTAACTTCCCTGCAGTGAAGCAAATCCATTGGCTGATTTCTCTAAGAACAGAACTGGACATCCTGACCTGGATGTGCAGCCATGGCAGCACAGAAACCCCTCTGCCCCTCAGACTGACAGTTCTGAAGTCAATCTTAATTTGTGACAGTTTAATTAAGATCTGGATATTAATCCTTCTCCCTATGCTTTTCTTTGGCTGGGAAAAGAAAGGGATTCTAGGGACAGGGAAGTTCCAGAAGACAACTTCTAACTAGTTCTGCAAAGGCATGAGCCAAAAATCCATCCTGCAGTTCTTAATCCGTTCACCTTCTGCCTTGTTCCTCTGCCACCTCCTGTCCCTTCTCTCACACTCTCAGCCCAGCTCCTTCCTCCCCTGGTGTCTCCCTCTCCTTGCTCTTCCTCCTGGCCAGGACTCCCAGAACACAAATTCTGTGCACAGACGAACCACACTGAATTACAGCTTGCATCATCACTGTTTACCTCTGACAAGTTTCCTTAATTGAGATCCCCAGCAAGAAAAAAACTGATCCTGGCGTTGCGTGGGCTCCCCAGGCATGGACAGATTTCCTGTTGTTTTGATGCAGTGTGCAAACATAAGAAAATAGAAGTTGTTTTCCAAGGAGCTAACAACATCAGCAGCACGAGGCATGAAGTGTTTACAAACAACAGATGGGAGACAAACAGCTCCAAGGTGGGGGTCAATGTGGGAAACAGAACTCTCTGCCTAAAAGCTGCTTGTCTGAACAAGGGGTTTGCAGGAAAGAAGAGTTCAGAGGAGAGAGAGAAAATGATTTTTTCTCATATATGTACAATGAAGAAAGTTTGAGGTAAGAGAAATGGAGGCAGCTTTAAAGAAGTCAAGTTAGCTGTTGAAGAAGAGCAGAGAAGATGCATTTTCCTGAGTCTCAGTCTTAGAGACAGAAATATATTCATTTCATAAATGTGAGAAAAAGAAGTTATGGCATTTGAACTGAATATTCCAAATTTTTTATCACAGTCTCTGAACATATGCAAAACTTCTAAACCCTTCTTTCTCTATCCTCCTTTGAAATACAGACACCCAATGAATCTACTGCAAAGTGTCCTTGCAATTAAAGGTGACAGATGATCTCCACTAACACACAACCCCCTGCTCTGATAATTGGTGGCATCAACTGAAGTTCAAAGGAAAAATTTCAACAAAATTTAAAGCCTGTTCCTATGGTTTTCAGAAGAAACTATTTAAGGAAAAGGCCTTTTAACAGCCTGCTATGGTGGCCATTGATCTAAGTCCAACACCAGCAAACAGCAGGTGTACTCTCTGTGTTTCTTCTGAATTTTTAAATCCAGCTTTCTGAAAGCAGCGAAGGTATCAGCCCCATCCTCTCTGGCATTAACAGACAGACCCCCAGTGGGGTTTTTTTCCAAACAAACTGCATCTGCTCCTTGCCTGAAAGTCTCTTCAGGGGTCTGAGGCAGGCAAAGCCCCTGGATGCTCTGCCTGGCAGCTGCTTTTGAGCCAGAGCAAGGGGCAGCAGAGGCCTCTGTGTCACAGCCCAATTGCAAGTGACTGTGGTGTTTTGGGGTCCCCCATTGTGGGGAGGAAAGATGAATCTGACTCCATGTTCTTAGAAGGTTAATTTATTATTTTATGATATTATATTAAAGAATACTAAACTATACTAAAAGAATACTAAACTATACTAAAGAATACTAAACTATACTAAAGAATACAGAATGGATACTTACAGAAGGCTTAGCAAGATAATAATAAAAACCTGTGACTCTCACCAGAGTCCCGACACAGCTGGACTGTGATTGGTCATTAAGTCAAAACAATTCACATGTTGGATAAACAACCACATTCCAAAGCAGCAAAACACAGGAGAAGCAAATGAGATAATATTGTTTTCCTTTTTCTCTGAGGCTTCTCAGGAGAGAAATCCTGGCAAAGGGATTTTTCCAGAAAATGTGACAGTGAAAAGTGACTCTCCATGAAATACCCAATTTAAATATCGTGCAGGCTGGGAAGGGTTCACTGTGCTGCTCATGGAACACCCAGCACAGTGGGAAATATTCAGTGCAGGAAATATTTTTGACACATTTACTTGAGCAATACATTGTCAAAAATGACACACCCAAGCTGAAATTCAGATACTCAAATGTGTTCAGGGACAGCGAGCGATGTTAGTCAATCCCTGGTTATTTATGTCCACTCAGTCAAGTCCAAAACAAAATGTTTTATTACACAAGGCACTGAAAGACCTTTTGGGAGCTGCTGACAACCTCCCTTCAGCAAAGGTAGCCAATTATCTAAATTAAAGCAACAAGTGAGTTTGTCATTAAACATCACTGGGCCTAAAAGAAGCTTCAAGTATTCCAAGTTCCACCTGCAGCTTTCAGTCCGTCTGAATTGCCTGTGAGATAAATCCTCCTCAATTTCTCTCACTTAGATATCATTTAAACGATTATTTCCCTTAAAAGCCCTCACTAGTCTTAGTTTCCCTGTTCTCCAAAATTCTCTTTTTCACTAAAGCACGAATGTTCCTCAAATAGGAAAATGCATTCAGGATCAGGTGGTTTAAAAAGCCCATTTAGACACAGAGGTATTGAGATAATCACAGAAGATGTAAGAACTCCATAAAGTTCTTGAAGGAAGCAATCAAAATGGTTTTCAGCAATGATCTCTCTTGGTGTAGAAGAAAGTTCTACAACAGAAAAGATGAGTAAAAGTTGTGGAGGGTTTGTTTGTGTGTACACAGACACAATGCTGAGACTTTATGCTGGGGAAAGGGGGAAAATTCCTGCTATGGTACTCTCACAAGAGTGAAATTTAGAGATAAAAACAGTTTGTAATACTTCAAGAAGCAAACTAAGCTATTGTAAGACTGAAAACATGTCAAATATTTAGTCTAACTGAAGAAGATGGTATTGTACAGTACTTAGAAGCAAGGGAAATACAAGAAAACAGAGGAAAAAAAGATATAAATTATGTGACAGATACTACAGCAAAAGCAAAATGTGCAGGTAAGAGAATTGTGAGGGGAAAAAAGAGATAAACTGATTGTTACATTAAAAAAAAAAGACAAAAAACTAGAATTAGCATGAAGAAATAATATTGCGATTTGTGATTATATTTATAAACATGCTCAGTTTAATTTTAGATCTATCCTCAATGTAAATCCTTCCCGTATGCTGGAAAAGATAAAAGTTTTAGGCTATTGTCTTCACTATCAAAGTAACTTTGTCAGAGAACACACACCACATGTAATTTTATGGAGAAAATCTGTATTTGCTGGATTTTAATGGTAGGCAGAAGAAAGTTATTTATACTACACTGCATCATGTCAAGGTCCCTCCTTTCTAATGATGTTATTCAAGAAAAAAAATGGGGAAAAAAAGATGATTTAGAAAGTCAAGTTCAGATCTGTCTGACATGAGCAAACTACAGATTAACATTTGAAAACCAGACTGCCGTGTGCTGGAATTTGCTGTGTGATAGATACCCTTGGAGCCAACAATCTGCCTGTAAAGCCACAATTACCAAAGCAGTTCCTTGAGCAGAGAAATTAACCTTTCCTTGACTTCCTTTCCTTGTTATCCCAAGGACCACACAGCTTTGAGTTCTTCCAGGAGGAATGCACTCAGAGAACCCCAATGTTTATCCTGTGAAGTGTCCCCAGAGCTCACAAGACAACAGGAATTCTCCT